TCATCTATTCTCCAGCTATCCTCTTTATTTTATTGAAGTATAGTTGATTTACAATGTTGTATTAATTTCTGCTGAACAGCAAAGTGATTCAATTGTATATATATATATAATATATGTGGACTTCCCCATTGGCTCAGTGGTAAAGAGTCTGCCCACCAATGCAGGAGACATAAGTTTGATCCCTGAGTCGGGAAGATCCCTTGGAGAAGGAAATGGCAACCCACTCCAGTATTCTTGCCTAGAGAATCCCATGGACAGAAGAGCATGGTGGCCTACATGGCTACATGGTCCATGTGCTTGCAAAAGAGATGGCCATGATTTAGCAACTAAACAACAATATGTATCCATACATTCTTTATCATATTCTTTTCCATTATGGTTTATTACAGGATATTGAGAAAAAGTTCCCTGTGCTATACAGCAGGACGTTGTTGCCTATCCATTGTGTGTGTGTGTGTGTGTGTGTAGTGATTTGCATCTGCTAATCCCAGAGAATGAAGGCAAAAGGAGGAGGAGGCAGCAGATGAGATAGTTAGATAGCATCACTGACTCAATGGACATGAATCTGAGCAAACTCTGGGAGATGGTGAAGGACAGGGAAGCTGGGCATGCTACAGTCCATGGGGTTGCAAAGAGTTGGATGCGACTTAACAACTGAACAACAACTGTGAGATCACATGTGCTCACACACACACACACACAAACACACACACACACACACATATGCATACACTTGGTGACATAAAGAGGATTGCTGGATTGGGAGTTTGAAATTGTTATTGTTGTTGTCTATCTCTTTTGTGACCACATGGACTGTAGCCCACCAGGCTCTTCTGTCCGTGGAATTCTCCAGGCAAGAATACTGGAGTGAGTTGCCATTTCCTTCTCCAAGGGATCTTCCTGACCCAGAGATCGAACCTATGCCTCCTGCATTGGCAGGAAGATTGATCTCACAGGCCCCTCACTAAACATGCCGACTGCCTCCCACCTCCACTGCCTGTCCCAGCTCTGTCCTGAGTTCAGGCTGCGGCCTCCTTTTCTCTGTGTGGCCTCCCATCTCTCCACGTGGATGGGGTTGGAGTCCAAGGAGGCACGTGAGAGCTCTGGCTGCTCCTCAGTGATTGCTCAGAAACACAAACAAGGTCAGCTACGCTGCTGAGCCCTGCGACGCCCCGATGCCTATCTGAGGTGGGGTTTACCTTGGTGTTTGCTTTCACCCACTGCTGCCTGCTCACTGGTCCTCAGTCTCTGCTGCAGGCTCCACGAGGTCTCAGCTCACATGCTGGGGGGCAGTAAGGAGCTAGCGGAGAAATAAGAAAAGAATGAGGAAGCAGTGGTGGGACTGGGCCGGGTGCCTCCACGGATTCCACCAGTTGGAAAGCCCCTGGGAGGAATCTCGACCCCTTTTCTCTCTGAGGAACCCTCCGGGAGGCAGCCTGAAAGTGAGTGGGTGACCTTCGGCCTAGGCAGCCCAGGGCTGGGACCTGCAGGCAGAGCTCTTGTCCCACCCCCCACCCCCGCTGGCCCCGGCAGCAGTCTTGATGGCCCCAGGGTGAGCTCACAGTCCTGTGATCTGCCAAGTGAATGGGCCTGAGGGTGAGAATCGGTGACTCCTGGTAGGTGCTCAGTGAACTTGTGGCCTTTGAGAGGAACAGGAGGCTGGTGGACATAATCAGGTTTTATTTTATGTTTTGGTTGTACTGCACAGCATGTGAGATCTTAGTTCCCTGACCAGGGACCAAACTCATACCCTCTGCTTCAGAAGCATAGACGCTTTCTTTCTTTTTTCCCTTTAACTGGAGGATAACTGCTTTACAATGTTGTGTTGTTTCTGCTGTACAACTAGAATCAGCCATATATATATTTATCTCCTCCCTCCTGAGCCTGCCTCCCACCCACCCCTATCCCACCCTTCTTGGTGGTCACATAGCACCAGACTGGGCTCCCTGTGCTATATAGTAGGGGAGTGTGGAGTCTTCATGACTAGAATGGGTGAGTGAAGTCGCTCAGTCATGTCCGACCCTTTGCGAACCCCATGGACTGTAGCCTACCAGGATCCTCAGTCCATGAGATTTTCCAGGCAAGAATACTAGAGTGGGTTGCCATTTCCCTCTCAAGGGGCTCTACCCAACTCAGGGATCGAACCGGGTCTCCCACAGTGTAGGCAGATGCTTTACCGTCTGAGCTACCAGGGAAGCCCCAATGACTAGAATGCCAGGGAATTATTACCCACAGTTAGGTTTTAGACTCAGAGACACTTGGCAGTTGTCCCTAGCTCTGCCACTAAGTAACTACATTACTTTGGACAAGTGGCCTTTGTTTCTTAGTGCCTTAGTTCTCCTGCTCTGCAAAATGGGCTCTAACAACTTCCAGCTACACCAGAGGGTGTGTGCCTCATGCAGTGGACTCAGCTCAGTAAACAGAGGTCAGGGCAGTGTTCAGATGAATGCGTTTCCTCGCTAACCCTGGATTTCACTATGTGTGGGGAGCTGACACAAGATCAAGGCTGGGAACACAGTGGGACATTTTGGGGCCACAATGTGCAGAATTGACTACCCAGCCCTACCGCACTGACTAATCACCAGTGTGGAAGCAGCCCAGTTGTCCTGAGGCTGGCCTTCCAGCACAAACAGGTGGGTTTCAGGATACAGCATTGGGGGTGGGGGTGCGGTGAAAGGAAGGGGTGCCTCTGTTAGCCACTTGCCTATGTGGGTCCACTCACAGCACCCTTGCACCCTATCCACTCCAAGTGGAATTTCAGGTCCAGACACTCCTCTGGGCACACCAAAGCACCCATGCCCACATACATGACAGATGGTAACTGCTGCTGCTGCCACCTGATGCTAAAGCTAGCAAACGGAGCAAGGAGGCCCAGAGCTTCACGGTACATCACAGATGATGCTACCACACACCCAAGTGTTGTGATCTGGATCTGGAGTTCGGGAGCCCAGCTCCAGGAGCTCCCCCCGCCCCTGCCCCTGTGATTATATTTTTGTGTCAACTTGGCCAGGCTGTTGTACCCAAAGATTTAATCACACACTGCTCCAGGTGCTGCTGTGAAGGCACTTTGCAGATGTGGCGACCATCAACAAGCAGCTGACTTCATGTAAAGGAGATGACCTGGCTGAATGTGGGTGGGCCTCACCCGATCAGGTGAAGGCCTCAAGAGCAAAAGCTGAAGTCTTGGGGAATAAGAAACATGGTCTCAAGCCTGCAACACTGAGCCCTGCCTGAGTTTCCCACCTGCTGGCTGGCCCTCCAAATTTAAGACTTGATGGCTCCTACAAGAGCAGGGGCCAATTCCTTAAAATGAATCTCTTTATATAAATACATATATAAAGAAGAAATAAACACATGGACACTTAAAGATACATAAATACAAATGCTCAGTTGGTTCTGTTTCTCTGGAGAACCCCGAGACACTGCCAATCCAGCCACCTGATGCCCTGAGGGCTGCATGCACGCTGCCAGCACAGAGCATTGAAGTCCCCATGGCCTCAGGTTCAGCTGGTCTTGACCTTTTACTTCAGACTGCTTAGACCCTCCTTAGCAGAAATGGGTTTGAATTGACATTCCACAACAAAGGGGGATTTTAGAAGCCCAGCATGCCTTTCTATAACCATTGACCCCGGGGTCAGCAGTAACAACGAGGGCCTGGCTACAAACCAAGGGCAGATCCAGCCTGCTGCCCTTTGGTGTCAATAAAGTTTTATTGGAACACAACAATGTTCATGCATTTGTGCTCATCTATCTGTGTTGTCTCTGGAGGCTTTTGTACTACAATGGCTCAGTTGAGCAGTTGCTTATATGAAGGGGGACCTCCTGGGCTTGATTCCTGGGATCCACTCTCAGTGGGGGATTTGCCAGCTATCTGGGGCCTTAGCAGGGAAGAACGTGAGTTCTCAGGAAGGTTTGGTGCAGTAGTTCTCAGGGCTTGGGGTGGTGTGAGGGGGTATTTATCAACATGCAGATTCCAAAGCCCACCCCTAGAGATTGAGTCAGGGGCCTGGGTAGGCTCAGAACCGTGGGTCTGCCCCTCAGAACATCCTGACACTGGCACCCCAGGCCTGTGTTACAGAAACCCTGGATTAGGGGGGTTTCCCTGTCCAAGCTGCAGGAGCCAGGCCCTCAGTGGTGCCTGGGCAGGGAAATCCCCACAAGGACCCTAGGCCTTTAGGGGCTTCCCACATCTGTGGTTACTCTGGCTCCCAGGAGGGTCTGGATCCGCCCTTGGCTTTAGGACACAGAGCCACGGAGAGCCATAACATAGCCTTGCTCTGATCGGCTAGGCTCGGAGGGGGTCTGGTCTGCACAGCTGGGCGGTGCTGGCTGGAGCTGCCACTAAGGTAACAGATGTCCTTCCTGGTGCTAAGACAGTCCACCCCCAGCCAGCTCACGCCCTTTCCCAAGTCGGCATCTGAGCCTGCCCAGGCCTGGCCTCAGGTGGTGGGGCTTTGTTTTCCTCATTCTGCCCAAGCGGGCACCTGCTTTTCTCAGCACTCTCTGCCTGCAATGTGCCTGCCAGCCTTGTATATGGCCAGCCCTGTAATCTCTTTGGGACCTTAGCTGCCCCAACCCTAAAGTGGGAGAAGATAGAAATATGAAACTCCCACCCAGTGGTCTAGTTAGAGGACCATGATGCAGTCCAGGTGAGGGCAGAGACCCTACCTGCCTGTGTACTGCTTGGCTGTTAAGTCGCTAAGTCATGTCAGACTCTTTGCAACCTTATGGACTGCAGCACGCCAGGTCTCCCTGTCCCTCACTATCTCCCGGAGTTCGCCCAAGTTCATGTCCATTGAATAGGTGATGCTATCCAACCATCTCATCATCTGCCACTCTCTTCTGCTTACCTCAGAGCAAATGCTTAATCCAAGGTGCAGAATGAATGAATAAGTAGCTGGAGAAATACCAGGCTGAGTTCCCCTGAAACACCCTGACAGTGTTCCCTGTCTGCAAGACAGACCATCTCGAGGGGCAAAGAGAGACAACAGCGAAGCTTATTAACCATCATCTCTTTATTTACAGCTCAAGAGAGTGCATGCAACACGCCATCATGGGACTCAAGGGTGTACTTTATAAATAGGAACCATAGTCCCCCAGGGAAGTTCCCAAGAGCCAGAAAACCCAACGACTGAGGCCCCAGGCCCAGATGCTCCACTTCATTTCCTCTGAAAATAAAGGCCAGTTCCAGCCCAGGAGGCAGGGCCTTGGAGCCTGCAAGTTGGTCACTGCTGGTTATTAACCAGGCAAAGTGGATCTCAGATTGGTCAACTCACACCCATATGCAAACGCCCCCGAATCATCCAAATGTCCCTGGTTGTCTGACTGTCCTGTCTCCCCCTCTGCCTCTGCTGTGTCTCTGAACCTTTACTGTGCACAAGGACAGTCTGGAGAACTTGTGAAAACCCACCCCTAGAGATACTGATTCAGTAGGTCCCAGTGGGGCTGGGATCCCACATTTCTGCCAAGTTCCCAGGTCTTTCCCCCACAAGACTGGGACGGACATTGACAGTGGGAATTGTGATAGGGAAGACCTTTTGTATCCTATTACAAATAAATCACTACAGGGACATTGCCTACAAACTTAAATTACACATAATGGCCCATTACTGGGAACCCTGCTTCCCAGATAATGAGCATTAAGCTAAAATACCTTTGTTTAGCACACAAGGAACAATCTGATCAGGTTCACCTGTGAATGACTGACTGCAGGGAGGAAGAGATGAAGGCTGATGGGAACCAGAAAGTGTTTTGAGTTTCCCGTTTAAATATAAAAGGAGACTGAATTCTAACTCAGGCAAGATGGGGTTGGCTGGCTTTCCGAATAAAGTCACTATTCCTTGTTCCAACAATAACACAAAAATGACGGAGGGACCAGAAAGCCTTTCGCATCCAGAAGAGGCTGCTTATCCTCCATCAGACCACCATCCTGATTTAGGATTCAGTAAATATACTCCCTGTGATGGAAGCCCTGTTTCTTCAGATTGGCAAGTCCTACCATGCCCTCCCGTCTCCCACAGGAGTGAAGATCATCATGAAGGACATGGTGTCCCTGTCAACTGCATGCAACCCCCAACGAGGAGCCTAAATAGTTTGCCTCTCCTGCTGTCTCTCCCAGCACCAATTTTTCCTTGCTGTTCTGTTGTTTCATAAACGTGTTATGTGTTGCAGGTTACATGGAAGTCTCTCCAGCTGCAAAGCGGATCCCTTCCAGGAAGTTGATGGCCGTCATCTCAACATCAGATTGTATTGGATGTGTTGAATATGGCTTGAAGTAAGGCAGACCCTGATGCTGGGAAAGATTGAAGGCAGGAGGAGAAGGGGACGAGATGGTTGGATGGCGTCACCAACTCAATGGATATAAGTCTGAGCAAACTCCAGGAGATGGTGAAGGACAGGGAAGCCTGGCGTGCTGCAGTCCATGGGGTGCCACGATTGAGTGAATTAACAACAAAGGCTCCACCTGTAGCTTCTAGGTGGTGGAAGGGGTCTTGGCTTCGGGACATGACATATGGCTCGGTGATTCCTCAAGGTGCAGGTGAAGCTGTCACATTCCCATGTGGCATGGTTCTCATGTCCTCTGACCCTTCACCCATCTCTGGCAGGCTCAGGAGCCACTCTTGGCATCACCAGACAAGTCACAGAAAGGCAGCCCCGTGGGAACAGTGAGTATCTCTGGGGAATGGCTGGAAAGCTCCCTCAGGAGGAATGCAGGGGGCATGGGTGACCATCCCAGCAGCTATTGGTTTCTGCTTGGCCTCCTGCTCAGCTCTTCCCAGCCTCAGGGTGAGGAGGGGGGATATATAGAAACTCCTGATCCTGTTGTTGCAAAGCCACGGACATCCACAGCTCTGCCTTAGTGGACAGAATCTGTACATGCTGCTTTGGGCTGAGTCCAGAACAGTGTTCCAAACCTCTTTGACCACAGAACCCCATCCCCTCTTTCCTAAGGGAGTATCTCACAGCACAGTGTTCCAGGGAACATGCTTTGGGAAATGTTCCTAAATGGTGACTTTGAACTGATCTCTGAGTACATGATGGATCACTGTCAAGAAACAGAACACCTGCTAAAATCATCCTAGAAAATAAATTAGCTAACACCGAGGGCTTATTATGTGCCAGGCACTGTAGCAAGCATGTTGCTAGGATTTTGTATTTACATCTCACAACACCACTATGAAGAAAGAGTGATTATCCCCATTTTACAGATAAATCCAGGCACAGAGACCTTAATGAAGTCTCCTAGGATCACCAAGGTAGTGAGTGGTGGAGCAGGCCATTTGTCAGCAGCTGCACTCCTGCAGGAGGACAAGGGCAGGGGGCCCAGGCCCAGGCCCAGGTGACACGTAGAGCCACCTGGATGCCTTGCAGAAGTACGATGCCCAGACACAACCCAGAGCGATTAAACCAGAATCTTTGCAGGTGGGCTCAGGCACCTTTGAAAGTTTTGGTACCTTTGAAAGTTCCCAGACTGTCCTAATGTGCAGCGAAGGCCGAGACCAGCAGATTAAAGCAGAGATTGGCAAACCACTGCCTGGGATCCAAGTACAACCCACTGCCTGTTTCTGTGTAGTCTGCAAGTTAAGAGGTTTTCACATTTCAAAATGTGTTTTAAAAAATCAAAAGAATAATCGTCTGTGACAAGTGAATATTATCTGAACTTCTGTGTTCATAAATAGCTTCATTGGAACACAGCCTATAATATTAATATTTATCTGGCCCATTATGATAAGTTTGTTGAACCCTGGATTCGAGGATATTGGCTTATGCACCAGCAAAAGAAATTTAAGGTAGACCTAAGGAAGAACTTCTGGCACAGAGGTTTGTTAAACACAGAGGGGGCTTTGGGATCCCTAATTCTGGAGTTAAGAGAATTCCACCCACTTAGCCTTTGCAAATGCAAAATGGAAGTAGCTAGGGCAAAAAGAGATAGGCCCTGAATTTCCAGCCATGGAGCTCCCTTGGTAGGCACTGATAGCTCCATTGAGCCTTCCAGCTTTGTGTTTCCATCATTGATGGCCAGGGCCACCCTTACCACTGCCCACCGCACCCCCACCCCCGCCCCGCCGTCACCAGACAAAAGAAATTCTGGGTTCTCTGCCTGCAGCCACCCCCGCTAGGGTTCTATCATGATCTCAAATCGGCCACCCCATATGAGGCACACAGCACAGGCCTTGTCTGGTCTCAAACAGACAAAACTGCAGGCGGATTCAATTTTCAAATAGCCGGCTTTGATCTCTTGTGGTCCTCCCCTCCCTAAGATTCCCATGTGCTTTGAACTTGAATGAGGAGAAAAGAGCCGGTGTATTTGGTTTCTTCTAGATCTGTTTGCCTTCCTTGGTGCCATACCCTTGACCCCCAACTGATTTTCCCAATGGAGTAAACAGGCCTGGCATACTGTGGGCGTGGTCCCTCTGGCAGGGGTCCAGGCCAGCGAGGCATCTGGAGAGGGAAGGTTTGCAACCTTGTTTGCCTTGGACCTGAGGGTTGGTCAGGAGTGAGATGCCAGGTGGAGGGATTTAAGTGACTCCCCTGAGGTGGCCACTAGAGTCACATCAACTTGGAAAGGTGTTCAGGTGGGCATCATGGGTCTGGCCCGTGATGAATGCAGTTAGAAGAGATGTCCCCAACTCCTCAGTACACTCTGTTGAAGAAGTGTAGACCTGTAGACCTGGGATGGTCTCTGGGGGACCTAGAATCACTAAGACGTATACAAAGTGGCTGCCAACTGGCAATGTGTGCTTTTGACTCCATGCTTGCATTAGATTCTCAAAAGTCATGAACTCCAAAAGTCAAAGAACCCCTGGGGTGGCAGCTTTCAGGCCCCTCCAAAGTGCACGTCCTGGGATGGGGTGAGCAGGGCCATAGACATAAGGAACAGCTTTACTGTTTCCCTTAAACACTTCCTCTCTCAGAACACCAGTTCGCCAATCTGCCCAAATCCTGCCTTGTAAGCAAGCAGGTGCTTAATGCACGTTTTCTTTTTTCTTCTTCTTTGAAATGATACACCTTTGTCCAGGGAAGGAATTGTCTGTTATTCCAGCCTTCACCACAGCAAAAGGAACCACCAGGGAACACATGTCTCTCACCGAAAGCCTTGGAGAACTTGGAATGAGTCCTTGGTTGTGGAAGAGCAAGGATGTGAGCCTTGGAGCTGGGCAGACCCAGGTTCAGATGCCAGCTCCACTCCTGACTCCCCGGGACCTGGTGCTTTCAGTGAGGTCCCGGGTCACCAGGAGCATCAGCAAGCCCTGAACCTTGTTAGAAATGCAGAATCGACTGAATTGGAATCTGCATTTTAACCAGATCCCTGGGCATTCTCACACAGGTGAAGGTTTGAGGAGCATTGATCTGGGACCCTGGACAAGATAATTTAAGCCTGCCTCAGTTTCCTCACTTGTAAAATGGTGATTATGCCTACTTTAAAAGGTCATGTGATAAACGAGATAACGTATGGCCCGCGTTTAGCACAGTGCCTGGTACATAGGAGGTGCTTCGGTATTCATCTCCCGCCTTTTGGTTCCCGGTCTCTCCAGGAGTTTCCCTTCTTTCCCAGCTCAAAACCCTCTTCCTTTTGAAACTTGAAACCGTTGCAGTGCTGCGGTAGGACGATAGAGGGCACTCTCGACATTACCATCGTGGCGAACACGGACACCGGATGCGCAGGCGGTGTGGGTCTCTGGTACGCTCAGGGGTGGGTGCAGGCGTGCTGCTGCCTGGGCAGGGGCAGTTCGTCCAGGGCTCGGAACGGAGCGTCCTGGATCTGAGCCTGCAGCCTCAGTCAGCTGGTCCCGCATTTGATCCGCCACCGCTAGTCATAAACAAACTGCCCGGCTTCTCCAAAACTCTGGAGCTCGATCCCCAGGCCGGTGCGAAGGCGTCTCGCGCGGGCCGCTAAACGTTGATGAAAGACCCCTGGTCTCCGTTGGCCGTTTCGGGCTCCACGCAGCGCCCCTTTCTCCGGGTGACCCTGCTGTTCCGGTGGAATTTGGCGTAGCAGCGCAGCCCTGAGCGAAGAGAGGCAAGGGGGTCAGACGTGAGACCAGCCCGTCCTCCCCACCTCTCTCCCCCCCAGCCCGGCCTCGCACCGTTTCACTATCACTGCCTTCTTTTTTTCTGCCCTACAACCAATCCATCCCCCGCACAGCAGCCTGAATGGGTTTAAAAAAGAGAATCACAGACGGAGAAGAGTGAACAGATGGAGCACAGGAGATAATTCGGACCACGAAACTATTTTGTGCGATACTATCTATAATGGTGGGTACATGTCTAGTCTTTGTCAAAACCCTAGGAATGTGCAATACAAAGAATGAACACTAATGTAAGTTATGGACTTAATAATGTACCACTATAGGTTCACCAGTCTTAAAAAGTGTACCACACTAATGTAAGATAACAGGGGGAACTGTGGCGGGGGAGAGGCATATGAGACTGCTGTATTTTCTGTCTAATCTTCCTGTAAACCTAAAACGACTCTAAAAATAGTCTATTAAAATTATTTTTAAAAGGGATGCAGGGCTTCCCTGGTAGTGCAATGGTAAAGATTCTGTGTTTCCAATGCAGGGAGCTTGGATTTGATCCCTGGTCAGGGAACTAAGATCCCACATGCCATGCAGCACAGCAAATAATAATAATAAATAAAAGAGATTCAGATTCTGCCCTTCCCTATAAAACCTCCCGTGGGCTCCCCACTGTACTCCAAAGGAGATCTAAACTGCTTCCCCTGGCTTACAAGACTCTCTGGGACCTGCCCTGCCCCCTGTGTGTTCTTTTTACCTCCCACTCCTCCTCACTCTGTAACTCCAGCCACACCTAGTCTTCTCACTTTTCCTCATACACCCCACCATTTCCAGCCTCAGGGCCTTTGCTATTCTCACAGCCAGAAATCCCTTCCTGAAGCTCTAGGCATAGCTGGCTCCTTCACAGTCCCTTCTCAAAGGGACCCTCCCTGACCACCTTACTTACAGTAGACGTGCCCCTCTTGGCCCACCAGTGGGAGGGGTTCCTGCTTGGGCTGAATCATGGCCCATGATAGACATCCTCTGGCATACATGGGCAGGCGTGTTTTTCATTTCAGGCCACATCCTCCCGGGACTTCCCTGGTGGTCCAGTGGTTAAGAATTCACCTTGCAGTTCAAGGGATGTGGGTTTGATCCCTGATTGGGGAACTAAGATTCCACATGCCATGGACCAACTAAGCTCTCGCCGCAACTACCGAGTCTAAGAGCCACAATTAGAGAGTCCATATGCCACAATGAAGATCACGTGTGCTGCAACTAAGATAGCAATGCAGCCAAAAAAAAAAAAAAAAAAGCCATATCCTCCTGATTCAGGGTCGGGGGTTAGGGAAGGAGGTGTCAGTGTGGTCTGAGCAATCTCTACATTTCTGGTTAGGAGTGACCACAGGGAGAGGGGCCATCACCAATTTAAGATCTGCTTATTTCAGTGTCAAGAGAATACAGGAATTGCCATGAAGTTTGTCCTTAGGGGTCTAGAACCAACACCTGGATCACTGAGCCTTCAGATCTGTGGCCACACGAGTGACACTTGGGAGGAGCAGGGGAGATCATGAATAGGAGTGGTTGGTAGCCACAGAAGCCCTTCTGGAACCCTTCAGGCTGGCCTAGACTGCTGGACTTCAGCTCTGGGACCTGAATCCAACATTTCAGAATTTCTCAGAAGTCCTCAGGACTCTTGGTCCTCCTGAGGGTTCCTGGCATCACTTGGATCCCTCTGCTGTAGCATCTGGGTGAAAACCTCTTCCTGGACCATCTTTAAGGAGCTGTCATTTCCACTCAATTTCTTTGTTTTTTCCCCAGAGTCTGAGTCTCCAGGGAGGAAATGAGAGTTTTGGCGGGACCAACCAGGATGGGAGGGACCAGGGAAATGAGCAGATGGGGCTTTGGCTGCACAGTTAGCTTTCGAAGGCATGAAAAGCTACCCCCTCCTAACCGAGGCCAGGGGGAGGAAGGAAGGATGGCTTCCCTGGCAGAGGGCTGCCCACTGAGCATCCAGCAGGGCACCAACTGGGCATGTGCAGCAGTAGGGCCACATCCCCCTCACCTGGGCAGGCTGGACCTGGAGGTCCTGATGCTATTCCAAGCTCCCTGGAATGAAGTGCCCTCCAGCCTACTATGCACCTCAGTCTTCTCCTTTGCCAAATGGGCCCCCACTTTGCACACAGGCAACAGAAGGCGGCTTCTTAGCATCTCCACCCCTGCCTACCTCCATCCCTTCACCTCCTAGCTCATCCCTGCCTCTCCAGTCCTGCCCCGCACAGTCCTGCAGCCAGAGTGAGCTGGTATACTCAAAAGTCAGACCAGGTCATTCCCTTTCTTAACACCTGATGAGAGACTTCCCTGACGGTCCAGGGGTTAACAATCCGCCTTGCAATACAGGAGACGTGGGTTTGATCCCTAGTGGGCAAACAAGGATCCCACATGTGGCGGAGCAACTAAGACCTGATGCAGCAAATTAATAAATACTAAAAAAAGAAGAAAAAAAAAAACCCACCCACATCTTCCCATGATAATGTAAATGAAGTCCTGATCCTACCCCCCAACTTCTCCCACCTCCTCTGTGCCAGCGTGTGGCTGCTGTGTGCCAGACGCACTCGAACATGCCAGCCTTGCTCCTGTCCGAGGTCCTTACCTTTGCTCTGCTGCTTGTCTGGGACTCTCCCTTCCTACCCCACTTCTCATCTTCAGGTGGCTAGTTCTGCTGTCCGCTCCTGTCCATCCTTTCTAAAATAACTCCCAGGCCAGCCTGAATTACTGTCTTTACAGTTCTACTCCTTTTTACAGACATCTAATTACTTGCTGTGTGTGTGTATGTGTTAGTCGCTCAGTCGTATCCGACTCTTTGCAACCCCATGGACTGTAAACTGCCAGGCTCCTCTGTCCAGATTTTCCCTAATTTTCTAGGCAAGTATACTGGAGGGGGTTGCCATTTCCTTCTCCAGGGGAATCTTCCCAAACCAGGCACTGAACCTGGATCTCCTGCATTGCAGGCGTATGCTTTACCATCTGAGCTACTCAGGAAGCCCAGTTATTTGCTAACTGTCGCTCATCTGACTAGAATGGAATCCATGGGTGGAGAACTTGTTGGTTCTCTTCACCCCTGAATCCCCAATGTCTTGATCAGAACTTGACACACAGTAGGCACTCAGGAAATATGTCTTGACCAACTGGACAAATGGATAATTGGACTGAAGCAGCTTTATTGCTTTCACAGCAGATAACTTTGAGGCTAATGTGAGCAAAAAATATGGCGTGTACCTCAGAACGGTCCACAAAGGGACAGAGGTCAAACCCCTCACCCTAGAGAAGTGAACCTTGGAGGCGGGATGACATCCAGTAATTATTGTGCATTTTCGGTGTTTTGTTTTTAAAAGAGTACTTGTCTCTTAGATGTATATATGGAAATATTCACAGGTAAAATATCTACATTCTTAGGAGTTGCTTCAAAATCCTATTGCCCCCCCCAAAAAAAATCCTATTGCAGTAGGGGAACTGGATGGGGCAGAGGGGACAGCACAGATTGGCCGTGAATGAGAATTAGTGAAACTGGATGATAGGAAATGGGGGTTCTTTATACTATTGTGACGACTTTAATATGTATTTGAAAATTTTCAGAATACACAATTTAAAATATTTCCCCCACTTTTCTACCTATATAGGTTTGCGCAAGTGACTTAAACTTTCTGTGCCTCAGTTTACTTTTGCGTGAAATGGGGAGAACGATAGCTCCCGTCTGAGATGGTTGTGAGGATTGAGGCGCTAACAGGTAGAGTGCTTGGCACACAGCTGGGTACATCTAGGCACACCTGGACGGTGTGCCTAGGCACACACAGGCGCACACACACACGCTCTGCTCCACGTGGGAGCTCAGAGCTTGCTCAGAGGAGTTGAGAGGGAGCCAGCTGGGTAAGAGCCTCCTTCCTTGGGAAAGTGCTGGGAAATTCACTCCTCACCCTTGTTATCACACTTGGAATGTCTCCCCTGGGATAGAATTCTGGTGTGAAAGCACCAGCCTTCTCAGGTTTGATCTTCTTTTAAAAGATACACTTCTCTCTTCTCCCTTCTCCTGTCTCCAGATCATGGGAGATCATACCAGCTTGTATTTCAAGAGGTGAGAAAAGCAAATCTGAGCAACGATGCCAGGAATGGAAACTAAATGAATTCACAGATTGGGAAAGCACCGAGCGAAGCTGTTCCTGCTGGTGTCTTCAGTTCCCCAGGGATCCTCTCACCCCCTTCGCTGCCCACCCCTGCCTCGAGGAGAATGGGAGGTGGCAAGGTTCTCGGTGCCGAGGGAGCCCCCGGCATCTGGCCTCACCTTCCACGCACATGCAGTCGTCAAAGCATTTGTTGTTCAGGCCTCGGTTGTGGGGCGTGCAGAGATGCTCCCGGAGGTCGCAGCAGGTCCCTGCCCACATGGCAAGCACACGCGGTCAGCTGTGCCGAGCAGACCCTCCCTGCCGCCCCATACATGCTCCCGCTGGACGGGAGATCCATCATCTCTGTGGCGGGGCTGCCTCTGGCAGAGTGGACCATCTGGTGCACAAGGCTCCCAGCCGGAACCACCGACGGATGTCCCCAGAGGGCGGGCGGCTGAGACCCTAGACGCCCCAGATGGGCAATTGATTGGTCATGGGAGGAGGAAAGGCACTGTTGATTCCCCACTGGGTAGAAAGGCTGGGGGGCCGCCAGGTGTGGAGTCAGCGTGGAGCTGGGAGGGGCTGCAGGGATCATGGACGCCAACGTCCTCTTTTGACAGATGGGGAAACAGAAGCCCCTGAGACGCAGCCCCAGGCACAACCTCACCCACCACAGAGCCAGCTCTCAGAGCCACTGTCCAGTTGGCCCAAACTTGAGCCTTTTCTTCCTGCTCTGGGTGGAAAAACCGTTTGGAAGGGAAACAACTTGTCAGGGAGCTGGTGGTCTGGTTTACACAATGCCAAATGATTCAGTTGCTGTTTTGTAGAATAATCTGGCTACTGAATTAACAGGAGCCAAGGTGTGCCACTCAAGTCTCTGCCCTTGCAGTCCACTGGCCAGGAGAGCAGTTAGCCTCCAGCCCCCCTGTTAACACCTGCAGGAGCCTCCTGGGCTGATGATGTCACACTGGGCCTGAGCAGAACAGCCCGGGCAGTGATTGGCTGCCAGGGCCTGGCTATTTCTGCCCAGTGGAGGCCTCTTGTAACAGGGAGTCTTTGTTCTGGAGCTGCCCATTGGGCTGGCCGAGATTGTATCAGACTCCTGTCCATTCCTCCTTCCTCTCGCTTTTATTGTTCACAGGCCTTATCCCCCACCATCCCCAGGAACCTCCTGCCCTTCTAATTCCAGCTCGGTTTCAGCTTCCCAGAAGTCCCAAGTGACCCGGCCAAGGCCAGCAGTTTCGACCATCCATCCAAACCCCAGGCCCCTGTTCTCAGACTGTCTTGATGGGCTCAGCTGCTGAACAGGTCAGGATATCATCAAAGCACCCACAGGAGCCCAGCAGTGTCACGACAGGATGAGGACAGAATGAAGCCTGATAAGACATTAAGGAGAAGTCGGGAGAAGGGTCATCCTGACTTAAGGCAGTGTGGGACAGCGGTTCAGAACAGCAGACTTAGGTTTGGGCCACTTCCAAGCTCTGTGATCACAGCTGAAACACTTGGCCCCTCTGAGCCTCAGTTTCCTTGCCTGAAAATTGGGAATGACAGGGTCGCTCTCTGGGTTGCTTTGAGGATGAAACAGAATAAAGTATGGCAGCAACTCTCATCAGACTGGTTTACTATCCCTAAAGGATCTTGCTCATGTGTCTGGGAACACCCACCTGCTCCCACCCCCACAACGGTTCCCCCAGCACCCTGCCTAGTGCCTGGAACACAATGCTGGTTTGGTACCTGGCAGGCAGTCCTGGTGATGGTCGCAGGGCTCCCCTTTAGCTGGTGATGTTTCATTCCCATCACTGGAGAGTTTGCCACGGTGTTTCTCTGGGGAAGACAGGACCTGTGGTCAGAGGCTGAGGCTCATCAGCGCAGAGATTAGGCACTGGATGCCAGGGTCAGAGTGCTGACACCACCACTTCCACAGTGTGGCTTGGGGAAGACATGAAGCCTCTCTGCCTTACTTTTCCCTTCTCTAAAAATGGGGTCAGAGGACTCCCCTGGCAGTCCAGTGGTTAAGACTCTGTGCTCCTAATGCAAGGGGCATGGGTTCTATCCCTGATTGAGGAACTAGGATCCCGTATGCCACATGGAGTGGACAAATAAAAGCCGGGGGAGCTTCCCTGGTGGTTCTTTGGCAGCTCAGATGGTAAAGAATCCGCCTACAATGAAGGAGACCTGGGTTCGATACCTAGATCAGGAAGATCCCCTGGAGAAGAGAACGGCAACAAACTCCAGTATTCTTGCCTAGAGAATTCCACGGTCCGAGGAGTCTGGAGGGTCATGGGGTCCCAAAGAGTCAGACACGACTAAGCTACTAACACACACTCCCTAGTGGTTCAGTGGTAAAGAATCCACCTGCCAAAGTAGGAGACGGATTCAATCCCCGGGTGAGGAAGATCCCGCAGCAACTAAACTGGTGTGCTACAACTCCTGAGCCTGTGCTCTAGAGCCTGGCAAGCCACATCTCCTGGAGTCCGCCTGCCCTAGAGCTGGTGCTCCCCAACAAGAGAAACCACGGCAGTGAGCAGTCCCCAGGCCTCAACTAGAGAGTAGCCCCCCCTCTCTGCAACTAGAGAAAAGCCCAGGCAGCAACAAAGACTCAGCCAAAATAAAACGTAAAAACAAAATTTTAAAATACTTTTAAAAAAGGCAGAGGGGATCAACAGAACAGATACGTTTTCTTTTTCTTCCCGTTAAAGGAGTAGCTAGTTGGAATCCGCCCAGTGTGCGATGAGCACTTGAAAGCAACATGTCTATTTCAGGTATTTGTTTCTTTATAGACTCCATGCCCCTCTCCACAACTTGGACATCTGTAGGTCAGGCTGGGGTCACCAGGCCCCTATCCCAGGGCATGGTGGGGGAGGGGAGGAACCCAGCAGGGGTGTGGAGGGGTGGGCAGATGTACCTTTCTTCTTTGTGGATGGCCAGACCTCAGGCTTTAAGTCTTCATAGTCAGTCCAGTCAAACAAGGCCATGTCCAGTGTAGGCATCACCTCCCCGTCAGGCCTGGGGTGAGCCTGCAGAGGAGGGTGGAGAAGAGGGAGCCTGAAGATCCCAAAAGGTGGATGAAGAAATGGGGGGCCCCAGGATCAGAGGGCAAAGGAGGGGCTCTTCCTAGGCCAGCTCATGGCATGTTGGACAGCCTGCAATCTCAGCCCGGGGAATTCGAGATGGCCTCCAGGACTCGGGCTCCAGCAGCTACCTGGGCAGTGTCTTCCCAGAGCAGCCACCCCCAGGCAGGACAGAGCCTACACACAGCTGCTGCAGTGCCCAGGCTCTCTGTGGGCTGGGGCTGGGGAGGCAGCGTGTCCGCTCAGGAGGAAGCCCAGCTGCTCGCTCCCCTGTCCCTTCTCTCCCCTACAGATGTCCTCAGTTCTCCATGGCAGGGCACTGTTGAGGCCATGCCCATAGTTCAGTTCTACTCTAGACCCCCCCACCCCACCCCGGCTCCACCCTTTGTGGTTTCGGGGCTGGATCTGTGCACAGTAGAACGTGGGCAATAATGGCTCAGTGGTAAAGAATCCGCCTGCCATACAAGAGCCACAGGAGACCTGGGTTCGATCCCTGGGTCAGGAAGCTCCCCTGGAGGAGGGCACGGCAACCTACTCCAGCATTCTTGCCTGAAGAATGCCATGGACAGAGGAACCTGGTGGGTTACAGCCCATAGGGTCACAAAAAGTGGGACATGATTGAAGTGATTGAGCATGCAAGCACGCCATAGGGCTGGATTCTCAACAGATGGGCTTCAGGGAGCCCTTCGACAGCATGGATAACCGTGGATTTGTTGGAGGTGGTTTATCAGGATCTTAAGGGAGTGCAAGACTCAAAAAGAGAATAAGGAAGCTCTGCTAAAAAAGTTTTACTTCTTCTACATGTATTATTGTATTGGTCATGTTTAATGATTTTATTTTGAAAAAGTGTTCAAAGCCACAGAAGAAGTGCAAAGATACACTTTGTGTTAATTGCAAGAATAAATACCCTTTGTCTAGACTCACCAAGGGGTTTTCCCTGGTGGTTAAGTTGGTAAAGAATTCACCTGCAATGCGGGAGACCTAGGTTCTATCCCTGGGTTGAGATGATCCCTTGGAGAAAGAAATGGCAACCCGCTCCAGTGTTCTTGCCTGGAAAATCCCATGGACAGAAGAGCCTGGTGGGCTACAGTCCATGGGGTCGCAAGAGTCGGATATGACTTAGCAACTAAACTACCATAGACTCACTAATGGTTGGTGTGTTTGCCACATTTGCTTGCTTGCTCCCTCTCTTTTTAAAGGTCTGAAGCAGATGCATTGAAGTGTTAACTAAAGCTTGTTAATTCTGGATTGTGGGGACATGGTTTTAGACATTGTTATTCTCTGTCCTTTGCGGGATGTACAAAATTCTTCCCCCAAAGCCTGACTTTTCTAGGTTCAGAGACCAGTGTGCTGAGCTGGCACTTGATTCCTTGGCATTCCATAGAATGAGCCCCTGGACCACTGCCTGGACAGTGGCAGCACTCCCTGGACAGTGGGCCTGCTGGCCGTAGCTGGGCTGGACGGGCATCAGGAGAACCAGCTTCCATCCAGCCCCATGGGCCTGGACCATCTCCCTCCCGCCCCTGTGCCTCAGTCTACCTAAAGGTACTAGGAGGGTTTGCATGAGGTCTTCCCAAGGACCCTTCCAGCCCCTTACCTGGGGCCACAGGGATGTGACGGGCAGGATCAGTGACTCTTCGGTGGCAGGTGCCTCAAAGGTGGTGAGGTAGAGTATGGTGGGGGCCAGGCTGGTGGAGGATTCCTCCATTAAAGCATCCGGGGACTGGTCTTCTGAGAGCTCCGCCTTCTTCATCAGGGAGCTGGGGCCTCTGACCAAGGCTCGGCCTGAGACAAGGAGCAGGGAACACAGCGACTTTATCTGCTCATCACCCCCATCAGCCCACAGCAGGACCCGCATTTTTTGCTGTCAGCTAGGGGGCATCAGGAGCCATAGGACAAGTTACTGGCTCAACTAGCATCCCACTGCCCACCCTCCTGGCCAGGGGGCTGGAAACAGGAGGCTGGGGGCACGATAAGGGGGAATGTCTAGGATGAACTTGCAGTGTTGCTGGGGATTCTCCCTCTAAAACAACATTCCAGCAAGTCCAAGTCCAGCTTGACGGAGTGCAGCCAGGGATGTAACTGCAATGAATGGAAACCAGTAAGATTAACCATGGAAGGTTTCATGGAGGAGGTGAAGTTTGTAGGATTAACCATGGAAGGCTTCCTGGAGGAGGTGAAGTTTGAGTAGGGAAGTAAGGTGATGAGGCTGAGACGCATTGCAGAGGGGAGAGGCCTTTGAGAAGGCTGGGAAGTGAGAGCTCCCTACGTGATGATGATGACCCTGCTTGCTGAGCTCATGCTGCAGCTGGGACCATGTTGCATGTTGGGTCCTGCTTTATAAGCGTTATTTCACCTAACCTTTGCAGGAGCTCTGGGAGATAGGTACTCTTTCAGTCTCATCTACAGGGAAGGAAACTGAAGCATAAGGAGGTTAGGTGACTTGCCTGAGGGTACACAGCCAGTGAGTATTGAAATCTGAATTCAAATCCAGGTCCATCTAATACAGAATCAATACTTTTAACCACTGATGCCGCCTTCCAAGGGTATGGGGTAGGATGAGTGTGAGGGGGAAAGTGTGCAGGGTTGGGGGGTGGTCAGGAACCAGCTTCCCTGGTGGTTCAGTCAGTAGAGTCTGCCTGCAATGCGGGAGACTCAGGTTCAATCCCTGGGTCGGGAGGATTCCCTGGAGAAGAAAATGGCAACCCACTCCAGTATTCTTGCCTGGAAAATTCCATGGACAGAGAAGCCTGATGGGCTACAGTCCATGAGGTCACAAAGAGTGGGACACAACTGAGTGACTAACACACACACGCACATGGGAACCAGGAGGCTTCAAGAAAAGCTAGAGGAAAAAAAAAAGAAAAGCTAGAGGGTCCACACTTATGCTTGCCTCTTTTTCTCAGACAAGAGCTGACTTTAAGGTTGGTTGGCTCCACTGGGGCCACCCCACCCTCCTGAGATGAATCCAGCCTGAGCTCCAGATGGCCACTGTCCCCTCCTCCACTCACTCACTCTTGTGGGAGGGCCCTGTTGGTCCACTGGAGCTGGGACTGGAGCTGGGCTGGGCTGAGTCCATGCAGGGTGTACGTCTTCCAGTTTGGCATCAAGGATGTTACCACCCTCACACCAAGCTGACACATGATCCCCAGGGGTGGGAGGCTGAGAATCTAAGCTGGGCCCCCCTCTTCTGACTGTGTTCTGTCCACCTGAGGGGTTTCAGTGGGCCTGGCAGGGAAACAAGCCTCAGTTGTTTGCAGGAGAAAAGGGGGCTGAGGCTCCATCACCCACTTCCTGCAGAACCCCACTCCCATCCATGCCTGTGGTACTTGGCCCGCCCCTAGAGGCAGTCTTGTCACATGAAGAGACTTGAAGCCAAGGCTGCCTGCCTGGGCTCTGGCCAGGGGAGACTGGGGAGGGGTCAGCTGGTTGGAGCTGCTGGAACATGTTTGTTCTGGAGAGTCTGGAGCTCACAGTGGATTTGGGAACATGAAGGGAATGTGAAGGAAGGTAAGGAGGTTGGACTCTTGAGAATCTCTTGGACAGCAAGGAGATCAAACCAGTCAATCCGAAAGGAAATCAACCCTGAATATTCATTGGAATACTGATGCTGAAGCTCCAGTATTTTGGCCACCTGATGCAAAGAGCTGACTCATTGGAAAAGACCCTGATACTGGGAAAAATTGAGGGCAAGAGGAGAAGGGAATGACAGAGGATGAGATGGTTGGATGGCATCACTAGCTTAACGGACATGAGTTTGATCAAGCTCCGGAAGATAGTGAAGGACAGGGAAGCCTGGCATGCTGCAGTCCACGGGGTCACAAAGAGTCGGACACGACTGAGCAACTGAACAACAACAAAGAAGGATGGGGCGGAAACTCCATCAACAAACAGGGCAGAGGCAGGAGAAATAAGGATGTGACTGCTCTCCTTGGGTCAGCCATGTCCAGGTCAGAGGACATGTATGGACTCAGCATCGAGAGAAAGTTGAGAATTAACTATTGAATAGAAACAACCACTGCTGCTGCCCCTGCCAAATGACAGGCACTGTTCTAGGTACTCCGGATAGCAAGATTTCTCTGAATCTATCGTGAGGATAGAGGGGGCCATGCCCTCACTTTGCAGAAACCAAGGCACAGAAAGGCGACTTGCCAGGAAGTTGTGGAGTCAGAATCTGAACTGGGGCAGATCTGGCTTCAGAGCCTAAGCTCTTGGCCTCTGCTCTATGTTTCAGCACTGATTAAGTGATGTGCTTGGAGTGATGTGCCGAATTGTTCCATCTCTGTTCAGGACTTACAATAGGATGGATTTAGGTCAGACACAAGGTAGAACTTCCTGAATCAGGAGGATGATCTATGGATAAGACTGAGCTCCTATGGCCACATATCCTTCTCTTCCTCCCCTGTTCCACCCCGATCCCAGCCTTTCCCAGCACCTCTTCTTACCAGATCCTTCTGAATCTAGTGAGATCCCTCTCTTCCTCTGAGGGTCCACTACCTGCCCCCTTTGGGGCATCCAATTTGTTCTCCCAGGAAGCTCTTGCCATTGACTCCACCCCCAGCCTCCATGTCCACCTCCTGAAGTCCGACCCCTTGGTCATTTGGGTCTGATCCCCTTCCCCCACTGCCCCACTCCCCCCATTGTAGGGCCCCACCCCCTCGCAGACCTCCAGCTAACCTCTATGCAGCCTCAACCTCTCCTTCCGTCTCTTGTGCTCCCTGCCTCGTTTCTTCACCCTCTCTGACCCTGGAGCCCGGCTCTCCTTCTCGGGGTAGGGCCGAGTCAGCCCCCGGAGCAGACCTTTGTCCTGCAGCAGGCCTGCAGGACTCGGCCCATGCAGCAGTCCCTCTGCCCCTGGGAGCCTGGAGGCCTGCCTGGTGGAAGTGACCACAGCCCCATCCTGGGTCCAGCCAGGTGTGCCTGGGCCCCGCTCCTTCTTGCCCAGGCCCCGCCGACGGTGGTGGCTGGCCTGAGGCGTCCACAGTGCTGGTCCCGAGAGGTCGATATGATTCTCCGGGAGGTTCTGAGCAGAGCTTCCGGGTCCCAGGGAGCCTGCCAGGCTCAGCTCCAGGAGCAGGAGAAGGGCGAGGAGCAGCATGGGGGCAGGGTGGGTAGTGGGCCCAGCCGAGGACTTCTTCCTGCAAGAAGAGTAGGACCGTGAGGGGGCATCTCTGCAGCCCTCCTCCTCCATACCCACAGTCCTCTCATTCACACTCTTCTTTTATAAGTTGCTTACTTACATTTATTTTTACTTATTTATCTGTTAGCCATGCCACAAGGCATGCGGGATCTTAGTTTCCCAACCAGGGATCGAACCCATGCCCCCTGCAATGGAAGCGTGCAGTCTTAACTACTGGATCACCAGGGATGTCCTTCCCTAACTCACATTGCTATAGCCCAGTCTTTTTCAACAGGGATGGAGGGGGACTTTGATCCTCCCCCCACCCGGGGGACATTTGGCAACATCTGGAAGCATTTTAGGTGGCCCAAACTAGGCAGCACTACTGACTTTACTGGGTGGAGGCCAGGGATGCTGCTAAACACCCTACAAGGCACAGGACTGTCCCGTCCCAGAAAGACCACAGTGCCGAAGCTGAAAATCCCTGGGTTTCAATAGTTTTAAGAAACACCCAGGTTCCAGTCTAGATTCCTTTCTTCTGTGCAAACCTCTGCCTTGGGCTAAGTTCCCAGGAATGAGCTGAGTCCCTCCAAGCTCAGCAATAGGCCTCTAGTCCCAGAGACTTGACTCAAAGCCTAAAATCAAACAAGCGGAATAAAAGCATTTGAGCACGTGCTGTAAGAAAGAATCAGGTTCCACGCCTGGTGTGCGTTTCTATCACTTGGTCCTTACGCCGTCTCTCTGAAGTGGCGCCTATTATTTTCTGAAGTGGAAATTAAGTCCCAGAGAGGCTGAGTCACATGGAGTAAGTGGCATTTAGTCATTGCTAAGCCTGTTCCCTGAGCTTCCACGTGCTATTCCTGGACAGCCCAAACTTGCCTTCTCTCTTCCTCCAAGTTCCAGGCAGGTTCTGACAGGGCCAGCACTGTCCCTCCTGGGGCCGGGGTCCGGGGGGCGCTTTGGAGGCTGGACTCTGACCCTGCAGAGTTGGGTGAACTACCTCTGACCTCCCCTGGGGACAGCCTGTTCTTCTGCACTGGAAGTGGGGGCATCTCATGGGACCTCACTGCTCCCCTCTTTGCACTGGAGGAAGAGTCAAAATTCCCGAATGTTCCAGAAGAACTTGGAGCTAAGGCTCAGGAGAACTGTGGCTGGGGGACAGTGGGGATGTCCCCTCCCCTTCCCCACAGCCCTCCCCTCGCCAACCCCCACCTCCACCCCGCCGACCCCACCAGCCTCACCGTATCCCAGGAGAGTTGGGCACCAGGTTAGCTGGGCTGATTGAATTTTTACGGCCTCCCCGGGCTCCCTGCATGTTCCATTAGGCTCGCAAAGGTGCTTACACAACTGTCTCCTTGTGATTTGTGGCCTTGTAATTGCCCAGGGCTGAAGAAAGGTTGGTGGCCTGGGGACCTCGGCCAGCAGCTCTCCCTCCAGCCCCCTCAGTTCCTGCAGCCTCCGCCATGGCCATCCCGCCCCAGGTTCACCGTTAGCTAACCCCAAGTGAGGGGCTCTTGAAGCGGGCAGGGAGGGCAGGCTGACCTGCTTGGGATGGGGGTGGGGGCGGGAAGCAGAGGGAGAGAAACAGCTCCTCCCCCACCTTGCCTGGTCCCTGGCCTCCCTTCCTTCCCTTCATTCCCTCCTGGCATGTCCTAGTCCCCGGGGAGGCGCGGGGCCCTGGCCTCCACTGCCCTGGGCTCTGCCCCGCCAGCCTCACCCCCAGCCTTTCCATAATGAGAGCCCTGGAGGCCAGTGCTTAGGCGGGCCTGTACTTCTGAGGCAGCCAGGTGGGAGGAGGAGGGGCCTGTTGAGGGGCTTGTCAGTCAAGCATTGTTCTGCTCCCGGGGACCCTTCAAACCCTATTTCCAAGCCCCAGGCAGATGCCAGGCTGCATTTCCCCGACTGCACCCTCCTCTCCCTGTGACTGAGGGAGATGCAGTCTGTTTTGGATGCTGTCCCCCACCCAGCCCCCACTTCTGTCTTGTGGGGACATCACATGGACAGTCTGAGAGAAACCCACAGAGCGCCTCCGTCGACAGGGAACCTTTGGGACATTGGACAGGGAGTAGAATCCCTCCGTCTCGAGGGTAGAGAGGAGCAAGGTGAGTCACCCAAACAGTGCAGGCAAGAGACGGGATGAGTCTTGGCAGGGGGCGAGGAGTGAGCAGCCTCATGTCGTGTGGGGGCAGCTTGCTATCCCTGTGGACACACATGAGGCCAATCAATGACTCAGAACTGGCCTCTGAGCTCGGTGACCAGCCCTCGCACTAGTCCCAGAGGACAGCATCTCCCCTGCAGAGCCAGGAGCTGAAGCCCAGCCCCACCCCAACCTTAGACAACCTCCTGCATCATGACCCCATCCACACTTGCCGTCTCTCCCAATGAAGTCCTGATACCAAGCCCTTGATGGTGACCATGGGTCTGTTCACTGTACCCAGGAACCCCAACTTCAGTGCCATCTTTGTTCCCTGTCCGCTTTGCACCCCACACATCATGTATGGGGCCAGCTTGAAGCAGGGAAGGGAGAATTTCAGCATGCAGGCCATCCCCTTCCTCAGACTTTTATTGGTACCATCCTGCCCCTGGCCACAGCCCATATTGTTGCCAAACTACTCTGATCTTTCTTACCACTGTCCCTGGCTCCCTACTCCCTTACCATTTAACCACAGACTCCCCACCCTGGCACTCAAGATCTTGTGTAACATGGCCCCAATCTAATTTTGCAGCCCTGCCTTCTGTTTCTTCCCCATCACAGCCAATAGGGATTATTCCCTGGGCCTCAAACACCGCCACCCCGCATCTTTCTTTTCTCTCTATTCTCGCTGATGCTATTCTATGAAAGTCCTTCCCGTCCTCTGGGACACCTCCCAAATGTCTGCTCTGACAGAGAGCCTTCTCTAGTTCCCCACTGAGATACGGTTCCCTCCTCAGGGACCCCACACAGCTCTGCCCAGATCATTTTCTGCTCGGCCAATCAGCTTTTTTTTTTTTAAGACTCCCAACTAGACAGGAAGTTCTGTCCCCTTTTCCCCTCTGTTCCTATCACATTTACAAGGCTCTGCAAATAATAGGCACTTATAACTTTGGGCTTCCCTGGTGGTTCAGCGGTAAAGAACCCACCTGCCAATGCAGGAGATGCAGGTTTGATCCTTAGGTCAGGAAGATCCCCTGGAGAAGGAAATGGCAACCCACTCCAATATTCCTGCCTGGGAAATCCTATGGACAGAGGAGCCTGGCGAGTTACGGAGACACAAAGAGTTGGACACGCTAAGAGACTAAACAACAACCATGGATCAGAACGGAGTCAAACTGATACCTGAGCCCAAGATCATACGTAAATTCCCAGGGAGGGTGTATATGTGTGTGTGTGTCTGAGTGTGTGTGTGTGTGTGTGTGACAGAGAGAGAAAGAGAGAGAGTGTGCTAGACTGAGGGCTGGGGATCCCGGAGCCTCTTTGCCCTGAAGACAGCATGGAGTCCTCTTTCCAAGCCCACAGGATTTGTACTTGAATCTTGGCACAGTGCAGCAGCCAAGATGCCAATCTGGCAAAGAGCCACTTAGGAAACGCGGGCTGCTACAGAAGTCGTGCCAAGGATCCACAGCGATGAGAGCTCCGATCCATTTCTGCAGCTCAGGAAGCCAGTTGGAGGCTGCCTCCCAAGGCACCAAGCAGCCAGGAGAGAAGAAGCAGCGGGTGCCCTGCCTCCCCGGGGTCCCCATCAGCCCTGGATGGTTCTGCCTGCGGTTTGCACACAAAGACTAGTCTTCTGGGCCTGGGTCTGGTTTCCCTAGGACTGGGGACACTCAGCAGCACTTGAGGGACAGGAGGACCATCCACACCCAGAGACAACTCTCTCACAACAGAGATCTAATAGTGGCTCCTTAAAAACTAAACTAAGCTAGAGCAATTGTCACCATAGGAGCTGCTATTCCCTGAGCGACTGGGAAGCCAGGCTCTTACAAGCTTATTTCATCCATTTTTTATTGCATCCTCTCAACTGCCCTGCATACGGCAGGCTGTTCTCCATATTTTTAAAAGGAGAAAACCCGGATTCTGGGAGAGTGAGCCATAAGCACAAGGTGACCACCGCTGGTGGGTTACAAAGCCCCACCTCAGGGTCTGGGTTTTCTCTGCACCCAGTGCACACGGACAGTCAGTCCTTGCACCCCCTCACCCACCCACTGAGCTTCAGCGGGGGTCGCTTGCCTCTCCCATGTAATCTGCCATTGCTGTGAGTGCAGTCAGGGTCCAGGAGCCGGGCCAGGCTCTGGCAGCTGAGAAGAGGAACCTGACAAAGGAGGAGGAAGGGGTTTGTTTCAAGCCCTCATCCTGTCCCCTTACTGTGTGGAGTTAAACTGCCAGCGAGGTCTCCACCCAGAAGCCTGCAGGGATGCAGTGTCACATGCGAATGAAGGCAGTTAATGGAGTCTGGAGCCTGCTTTGACTCCTGAGCCTCCACCCCCTCTCCCCACAACAGCCTTGCATTTAGGGGCCAGGAGACTAGGCGGAGGCTCCTGCCTGCCCGCCTGGCAGACAACTGCAGGGCCTGAATTCCTCCTTTACTGATCAGCTCACCCGATGCTTGATGGGTTGGAGGGGAGAGGGGGGCAGGTGGAAGGTGGGAGGTGGGAGCAGGGCTGGCTGAAGAGGGTCCGATGGGAATCCCAGGCCAGGGATATCAGTGAGGCTCTGATGGAGCTGAGGGGTTATGACACTCAGTCCAGACTGTGAGCCAGACAACCACCCATTGGGAGAACTTGGCTATCAACCCCCACTCTTTCACCCTGAATCTCCATCTCGCGTGTGAAACTGACACATTTGAGCCACCATATTTGGTAGAAATGTTTCAGGGATTCTCTAAGCATTTGATTTTCTAGGCTTAATTTTTAAAAAATGCTTTAAAACTATTTTGCAAGCTGCAAGTCGCTCAGTCATGTATGACTCTTTGCGACCCCATGGACTATACAGTCCATGGAATTCTCTAGCCCAGAATATTGGAGAGGGTACCCTTT